CTATATATAATATTACACACACACACACACATATATATAATTTCTATCTCGTGGGTTAAGAATATTCATGTAACCACCCATCTGACAATGATGTGTATGTGAAACGTTTTTCGATACAGGTAAAAGATGTCATTGAGGGGCTTAAGAAGAATCCAAAAGATGCCATTCCGGTGGTACTGCGAAGACTCAGGGCTAAAAACACGGAGTGGATGCAGGCACTTATTGCGAATGGAAGGTACGTTGTGTATAATTATTTAGATATCGTTGTAGACGTGTGATATATCTCATCAGCATTGTCTACGGATTTTATTCACCTATCTTTAGTAAATCCATTTTGGTATCACCTGGTGACGTACGTATATTTACACTGAGAAACCGCGATTTGCAATGCACAGTTGAATACATACGAAGACGAAGAGTAGAAGGATAGTCTATAAAGATTAACGATATTCTATAGAGATTGTAAGGATAGTCTATAAAGATTAACGATATTCTATAGAGATTGTAAGTATAGTCTATGAAGATTAACGATATTCTAGAGATTGTAAGGATAGTCTATAAATATGAATGATATTCTATAGAGATTGTAGGTATAGTCTATAAAGATTAAGGATATTCTATAGAGGTTGTAAGTATAGTCTATAAAGATCAACGATATTCTATAGAGTTTGTAAGTATAGTCTATAAAGATTAACGATATTCTATAGAGATTGTAAGTATAGTCTATAAAGATTAACGATATTCTATAGTGATTGTAAGTATAGTCTATAAAGATTAACGATATTCTATAGTGATTGTAAGTATAGTCTATAAAGATTAACGATATTCTAGAGAGATTGTAATTATAGTCTATAAAGATTATAAGGATATTGCATAAAGATTAAAATGGTTTTCTGTAAGGTATGGTTTTACGGATTACTAGTGGCATAAGCCCACCCGAGTTGACTATCATCCCGGTATGCCGTGTGCATAAGTCTGTCGAATGCGATGCCCGTGCTTGCCTAAGTACCGAACTCTACGTTTGTTTGTGCTTTGTCGCACCTGTGCGGTTATAATCTACTAACACAGAGACAACACCCACATAAGTTACTTTATCAACCTGCTCGATAAGTTTGTGCTAGAGGATTCGACCCAAACCTTCATGCGTGTTGTGGTGATTCCTTCTCATTGCCACATACGGATCATAGGCCACGAGTTATCTCTGTCATGAGCAGTTCGAGCCCAGGTCTCTAGCATTGAGTCAAGCCGAGATGTGCATGTGGTATCCCATATCCTCTACACTCGACCTCATCCGCACATTTATATGTGCGTATCTGCTTCAGGCTTATGACCGACACGCACGTGCTTGTTCCCACTGATATATGACTATACCTGTTACAGGCAATGGCGGAACATCCACGAGAAGAGTGTGCTAAAGTCCCTGGACGCTCGGGCACCGAACGGCAAGTTCCGCTACAAAGACAAGGATACTCTCCTGCCCTCACGCATAGTGAGCGAGATCGCCTCGGAGACTAGCGGCAGTGCTGGTCAGTGCCAAGCCGATGAGGGTGTGGATGTGGGTAGCAGTAGCAAAGGTAGTCCCAAGCGGAGTGTATTCGAGGATAAACCAGGGTTTTCTGTATCTAGGAAACGAACTGACGCCGATGGACCGAATTATAATGTGTGTATGAGCGATGCGGAGGTGTTGGGGGATGTGGCGGCGCTGGTGAAGCACTGCATTGAAGCTCCCAGGGATGGTGTTACTACCACGACGAGTAGCAAGCAAGGCAAGCAGGAGAAAGGTACGTGGATATATACACATACTACGTATACGCACCCCCCCCACACACAGAAACACACGTATATATATATATATATTTATATGCATGCATGCATGTATGTATGTCTGTCTGTATGTATGTCTGTATATATGTATTTATATATACATACATA